TGGCTCAACAACTTCTTCGACACCAGACCGGCCGATTTTTGGCGAAACGGCATCAACAAATTGGTCGAGAGATTGGAGGAGGTCGCAAACAATAACAGGAAGATACATCATTGATTAATTTATTATTATAACTATTGTTTTTTGGTAAAATAAATCTCTGTGTAAAAACTCTACGAACTTATGTTACAACCCAATATTTCCAAGCAAAGATTTGTCCCAGTTCTCTCGATACTCAGCAATTAATTCTCTAACTCTAATAAGTTCTATTGATTAGTGAACGATTTAGAAGTTCATTGCCTAATTACAAAAACGTTATCAGCTAATTACAAAAAGATATTGTAGAGGTATGCAAGGAATAAAAATTACCTGGAATGTATACCAAAGGTTCACTAGAAATGGATGAGAGCACTTTCGAAGTAGGCTAAGTTCACGAAGTACGTTACCAGCAACACCCTACAACAAAAAATGATTAAAAACAAGCTGAAAAGAGTGCATCATAAGGCATATAGCTGTTCAGGGATGGGTTCATTCCGTTAGATTATGAAGGTAACCTGCCGCGCACTGCGAGCGACAAAATCGCGCGATTGATTCCACGGTACGACTGGCTACTACCCTGCGATTCTGTCGCGCAAAAGAATCGTGGTGGCAATTCTCGAAATGGAGCGCTATGACATAACAACAGGAACTTATAGTGGCAGTTCCATTCCAGTCACAGCGCGCGGCGATTCCTAACTAGTTGTCTTGCCGTGCACTATGCCCTAATTTGAAATGGTTAGTTGCCTCGCAATATGGCATGCAATCAGGTGCTACTACTCAGGACCTCTAATAACAGTATCGACCTTGTATAGATAGCTGATCTTGCTCAAGGAAAAGAAGAAATCGCATATGATTGACAATTTGAATCGCAACCATTGTTTCGGTACTGGTCACTCACCTTATCAATACACCGTCTTTTACTCATGTATTTTAGAGCAAAATACTTCTTGGTCGAACGTTGCTGCACAATGCAAACCTGAAAAAGCGTCGGGCAATGAAACCACTAGAAGTTTTCCAATTTTTTTTTGCTTTTTTTGCAGACTTGGGTTAAGGCCAATTGACGACGTTCTCAGATCCCTCGAAGATCGATGTGTCTATCAAGCATTACATCGCTAACAAGTCATTTGAAGATCCGTTCAAGAAATTGAAACCCTGTCTCTTATATTAGATGGTCCACAATGGTGAAGGTATAGGCTAATGCACATCTCAATCCACCACGGATCCGAATGGGGGTCAAGTGCATGGCGTATCTCAATGAAAGAAATGATGACCGGAGGCTTTTCATTGATCTATGTGTAGCGATGGGCTTCACGTACGATCAAAGTTGAGAGTGGCGAAATTTCTGAACAACTATCCCTAGCTATCGGCAAAAATTGAAAAGAACTGCTGATACATCCATGGATATGAGATGCAACAGAAGCACTGGCCTGATGCGTGAAAAATTCAAGCCCTATTGGGGAAAATGTGAATGCTCACTTTGCCGAATGCTCCTCTGCCAATACTGCGAATAATTGAGAACTGTGCGAGACACGGGGATGAGTCGGTGGTCGGCCGCTGACCGCAGCACCAATTTCCCATACGCCAACTTCATAGAACGACCTCTGAACGAACGACAATTCATTTTGATTCAAAAACGCCCAAACTCAATAAACACGACGAAAATAAAAAAAAGAAACAGATGGGAAAACTATTCACGTCAGCTACTAAAATCTAGGAGACCGCACACGAAAGGCTGTATACAAAAAATAACGACACGATCACTCTGACAGGACTCAAATGTGCAAAAATGGACAGCTTAAGGGGGTTTTGGGCCCCGATCCCTTCAACGTATACCAACATTATACCATTTTTATCTCGTCCTACCATATCACAGCATCATTGTGTAATTGAACAATTCGGACGTAATTGAACAATTCAAGGAATTCAAATGATCTATCAGTAAGCCGATATTAAACGCACACGGTCTAAAAGCTTGAAGTAGGCCACAAGAACAAGTCGTTTGCGTTTTATAATATTTAATATTACATTACACCAATGTATTTTACCATTACTGTAATAAAAATACCGTGGAGTAATAAACTATATGAACTTATTGCCAACTTTACTCGCGTGAATACAAATGAATAAACAAATCTACATTCTAACATATTACATGACATCATAGTTGGCAGATTACTATAGACGGCCCCGCCCTCATATCTCAATGATACATCTAATATTGAACGCCCCAACAGTAAAGTAGATTGGAGTTTTCAAGAGACCTAGGTTACCGTTACAGCTTGCGAAATGTAAGGTAGCCTATCTATGAAGGTATCGCTTTTTGCTCAAACTGCTTCAAAGTTGGAAAATGACTGGGTATAGCCAAGTTTTCCGTGTTTGAGGAGTGTCTGCGTAAGTTACCGGTTAAGAAAAAGAAAACATTGTCGAGGCGTGGGCCTAGTATTTCTGATGAAATTCCATCGCGGAAATCGATTCTCATCGAGAAGCGAAGCCTACAGTTATTGCCCAACACCAGCAATCATAGGAGTAGGTTTCTAGGTGATCCTCAGCCGTGGAAACTTAAAAAATACCGGATTGAACATCTAGCAGGTTTATTGGGTCGTTTGGAGAGTAATTACGATTCTTAAGTGCTGCACAAAATACACTTTTTCCCCATTGAACGAACCCTCACCAGATTTTGTTCGATTACCTTTTGCCATCCTTCTGACTTAATTCGAATCATTCAAGCCCATCTACCAAGCTAGCATTGGCCCGATCCATATTTCCACTTTAGACCCGCTGTATAAAAAACAACAAAGCAGTACTGGGCCTTTCGGGCTCCATTGTTAAACATCATTTCTCCAAGGAAATCCACTAAAAGGTTCGTTAGAAGGGCATTCAACGGAAGGATATGATGTATTGTGATGTGGCAAATGGAGTTGCTGTGGATGTGGTCGTGTTTGGAGTGAAGCTTTTCAGAGAAAACGGAATTCGGCCATTCTTCTCAACAATGTTGACATGGTTGACTAAGCTTTTCTGTGAAGGAAATGCTTTTCTGCCAAACTAAGATCATTCCAAACATCATGAATCACCAATGGCTTATTTCAGAAACAGCTAAAGTTCGGTGTTTGATACACGAAGTAATTGGAAGGAATTGGATTCAGATTGATAGTGTAGAAGCCGTAGAGATTTAACCATTTAGGAAATATTTCATTTTATTTTTTCAAATTGCATTCACACTCCAAAAAAATGACCGATAGAGCGAATAGAGAAGAACTGGGTGAGGAGGGGGGGGGGGGGGGCATAAAACGGGCACATTTGTACGTACGTTTTTTTATTTCTGATATTTTAACGATTTTCTTTCTCTTAACAATAAAGCGAAGTGGGAAGAATCTGAGTTCCCAATAGGAGTAAAATATAGTGGACTAAACAAAACAGAGTAATGCAAACAAAAAGGAATCGATCAGTCAATCAGCGGTAACCCCCACCTTCTGTTAAATCTCCCTGCTTGGAATAGCATCCAGGTCACCTAAGAGAAATCGCCAGCTAGAGAGAGAGAGAGAGAAATAGAAAAGGTGAAATTTCTGTTTTTTTGGGAAAATATCACATATAGGGAGCAACTGAAAGCAGCTTTACAGAGATAGGAGTCTTCCCCAATATAAACCAAACCCACTGCCTTTCTGGCCCGTTCAATGGTTCCAGACAGGCCAAGGAGGACGAGAGTAACGATTACAGCATAGACTAGCCGTAGACGAGGACTAGAGTGAATTCAAGTGCGAATAATTTTACGATGCGGTTGAGAGATCGTAATTTGTATGCGTGAAAGATTGAAAAAGGTCTGACTGCTTCGTTGCTAATCCATCAAACGCCTTGACTTCACAGCTTTTTGTTAGACGTGGCATAAATTTCAAGAAAAATCAATTCTTAGGAATGTCTGGAATTTCAGTTGAATTACAATGAGTGCTTGTAATTGTACTTTACTGAACACTCACTCCAGAATTAAGTAGAGTGAAAAGCTTCAAAATCTTCAAATCTCGAGAGCTTTCTGAGCAGGCAGACGCTGGTGAATAGACAGGGAACGAAAATTTCCTTCCAGAAGTTACCAATTATATAACTAGCTCGAATAAAATGATTATCGATCAAGAAAACCTTTAAACTCCCAAAAAAAATGACGAAATTATGTGAACGAATCAGAGAAAACGAACGCTGACACCTCGATTTCATTGCGGAGGTGGTGTAGTGGCAAGTGGCGCACTATCACACATGTAGACCGGGGATCCAAGCTCGGTACCAACCCAGGCTAATCAGGTCTTTTATCCTTTCAAGGTTAGTTATTTGGGATCAGAGAGGTCTTGTTTCATCGTATAAACCACACTGCATTCAGTTGATACTACCTTTCTGAATGGAAGTCGAATGTTGGGCGCAACGCGAAAAACGGGTTGACTGAAGCTGAAAAAACTTTGGCTTTTTCCTTTTAATTCCTTGAGATATGACTTTTCTGGTCTCATTTCTTCAAAATTATTTTTCCGCTATTGAAATATTGACATAATAGTCGCAAATAATTAGTGATAATTATATATATGTATATATAATAATGATACACCTATATCATATAAATTATCAATAAAATGAATTTATTACATGGTTGATTCATGCAGGGCATTAGGCATCAGCAAGGTTATTTACAGTGACAAAGGCTCAAATCTGAGAAAAAAAGTCCAGTGAAATCGTAAAGCTAGAAATTAAAACTAAATAAAAATATGCAAAAATGTAGAAAAAAAGACGATCAGATTCTTCTCAATACTGAATTTTCCACAAATTTGTATTCTTTCCAAAGAGATAGTAATACTACAAATACTCTTGCCTAGGATATTTGTCTCTAGGATATGGTACCCTGCATTTGTCTTCCATGAGCATTCATAAAAGCGACTAATAGCCAGCCCAATGAGCTCCAAAAAGACCATGGATCAAGGCTGTAGTTCTTTTCCCCCCCTACGAGGAGGTCTAATCTGATTTGGTAAGAATAATGAAGAGGTAATGGAGTTGGACAAGCATCGTAGGATAACAAGGGGATGTTTGAGAAGTCAACAAGGATCGCCAATCCCTCCTACTCGGGTAAACACCCACTAAATATTCAAGTAATCTCACTAGGGGTGTCCCAACCCCTCTTCTAGGCCTAACCAACCATAAACCTTTCTGCCATCCAAGTTCCAGGTTTTCTTCAGTTTCGGGATCGATTTTATTCTTTCAGTTCTGAGAACTCCGCAACCAATCACTTATGAGAAGGCTCTGTCTCGTTAAGGCCTTTAACCAAATTTTCAATTACCGGAAATATGTGAGGCTCTACCTTCCTCCTTCCCCCACTACTTTGTCAAGACCAATTTCTTTTCCTAAATCGACTTGGATTGCGACGAAATCAGGTTATAGACTGGAAGTACTGGTAGGTAAGGAACCAAAACAAAATTCAAAGGAAAAGCTCTCGGGATTGATCAATTCCATTCGGAGAGCGCTCACGCATACGATTTCATTCGGAATAGCAGTAGGGCTCAAATGCGTATTTCGCCTACAAAATGGCTCGGAGAGTTAAGTGATGTCTATGAGCAAATTTGACACGAGTTATCTGAACTCTGAAAGTATGAACAGCCCAGTTGGCCTAGGCGGATTTTTAGGGGGACGCTGATGACGCAGTGACGTCACTTCTCACTATTTCTTTCGTTCAAAATGAAAGAAAAATAAGTAATAATTAAACGATAAAAAGCGATAAATAGATTAGCAGAAACAAGGATATATATCCTATGGAGTGCTAATAGCAAAGGGAAAGTTGTCATAATGGCATAAAACGCCCAAGACAGAACTGCCTAGTCAAGGAGGTAATGGTTGATTATTAGACACAAGTGTTTGCGGAGTATAGAGAACATTTGTATTTGAACAAAAAAGAATGAATGATGTAAAACATCAGTGAATGATACTCCAGATTCGTAACGAAAGATACAATAATGTGGAGAAAAAGCTCATAGAGGCAAGGTAGGAATGGTACTGCTACTGGAAGTACCCCCAATCAAATTTGAATACCATAGGTAGCTCTTACCCCTTGTCCACAACCCTATTGGGATAGAACTCAATGCACTGGCTATTTTGGAATAGAGCTCCACTGCGCTTGGTACTATGAATTCCCGCTATTTATCTATCTAATTTGATATGGTAGGGGCGGAGGTGATGTAGTGGCAAGTGGCGCACTATATCACACGGTCAGGGGTTCGAATCCTGGATCGATGCCCGCCTAGGCCAACCAAGCCTTCCATCCCTCCGGGGTATTGAATTGGTACTAGACTCGCCTGGGAGGATAAAAGCACTGACTTGTACATCGGCTGGCCATCGCAAGTCATTGTATAGGCCACATACGCACTCATTACGCCATTACGATTCTGAATGGAAGTCAGTCGAGTGCGGGGGCGCATCCCTCAGACGGGGTTGATTAACGCCAAAAACTTTAGCCTTTTATCCTTTTAATTTGATATGGTATTCAATCGCTTTTGTGAATTGGATGGTATTCACAGTCATGGCGCAGCCCTGAAGAACGTAATCATAATCAATTCATG